GCCACACTAGAGCAGGTGTTGGGGATAGAGCTCAATAACATCTTCTGAGGGGCTCCCAAGATTGAATCTCACATATGCTTTCTAGTGGTAAATTAGGAGGCCAATTCTTAGGCCTGAATCACTGTGCTGCCTTCTTTGCAATACACACAAATACAACTATTTTTTTCCTTCTGTCTTCCCAACTAGGCTGAGTTCCATGAAGAAGTGGCCATGTCTTCAGTTTTTTTTTTTTTTTTTTTTTTTAACCTCAATGCCAAGAATAGGGAAGGGGCTGCATATATATGTTAGATGGTTGAGTAGGTGACTGGTGCATGGGTGGAGAATCCCTCCTACACCCAATCCTGCCTCTAGCCCCTTCTTCAAGACACTTTACTGCCACCTGCAGGAAACTTCAAATAAGAATTATGCAAATCTGCTATGATGACTGTGAATGGCACCCCCTAGAGTTGTGTAGTGTATAACCATGTGACAGCCTGTCTGGTATCCTGTTCCCTGCCCTGCTCGCCCCTTAACTCCCTGCAGGCCCCACAAGTCAGCTATTCAGATTATCACCTCCAGAAGATTCAGGCTGGCCTGATTGCTAGGTATTGCCTAAGGAAATGGAAACAGCAATGTACTTGGGGTTAGAAAATCTGTGCCAACCGGTCCTGCATGACAAGTACCTTATATTCTCTGGGGCCTCCAATCCTAACACCTGCCCAGCCTACCACACAGAGTTAGGAAGTTCTAGGTAAACCATGAAGCTGATGTACAGAAATAAGGCATTTCTTTAATGACTATTGTTACATTTTAACGTGATTGGACTTAGGGCAAGTCCCTGAGTGGTGCAAATGGTCTGTACTTGGCTGCTAACTGAAAAGTTGGCAGGACAAATCCACCCAGTGGCAGCACTGTGGAAGAAAGTGCTGGCAATCTATTTCATAAGATTTACAGCCATTGAAAACACCATGGAATACAGTTCTATTCTGAGACACATGGGATCACCATGAATTGTAATTGATTCCACAGTAATTGGTTTGGTTTTTGGTTGGGCTTAGAGGAGTGAGTCAAGAATAAGGCTGGAAAAGAAGAGGGAGAGGAAATAGAGGGATAGGATGAGGGCGAAAGGAAAAATCAGGTTATAGCATGTGTGGTGCCCCTAGAACCTGTTTCAACTTTGTAGACTGAGATTAGCAGGTTTCTTGGCCCTGACATGCCTCCTCTAGTCTGACATGTAGGATCAGCAGGGCTCCCCCATTAGGCTTCTCAAGCACAGGCAAGGCTCTGAGAACCAGTTTAGGATACCAAATGGAACCAGGGAAGGGGGTGATCTCTGTATTTGGTGAGACTGATTCAGATACCCCCACTTGACTTCATAACCTCGACCCATGGGGAAGAGAGAAAAACACAGCTTCCAGCACAAGGCTGACTTCATTTCCTTCCAGAATGTTAAGTTCCAACCTCAGAAGCTGCAGAGTGCCCAGGGTCTCTGAGACATGTCTCTCCTGAACATGACAGGAAGGTGTCCCCACAGAGGTATGGCTGCCTTTTCAATTACTCTGGTGTAGCCCCCACAACATCCTGACATCACAGGAAGATTCCAGCCAGATCCTGAAGTAGCAATCCCGCCTCGTCTCTGCTGCCTCTCCTCTCTCCGGCTAAGGAAACACGCCCAATTGCAGCACACAAGTTATTTTTAACCATGGCAGTCTCCCCACTTTCAGCCTCACTGGCCCAGCCCCTTCCTCAAGACAGTCATTTGGCAATGTCAGAAGACAAAGAATATCAGCATCGATGCCGGGAACCCAGCACAACACCATCCCTTTGATCAACTGACCAGCTGGGTCTGTAGGGGCTTTGCCTGGGGGTTGAGACCCCTTGGGGCCACTCGACTTCTATTCTAGACTCAGGAAGTTAAACAGCATACAAATCATCCCCTGGGCCTCCTCAGGGAAGACTGGAAAAGGAAATCATCACAAAGGGCTCCATGGATATGCATGAATGATGGAAGACCAGAGTCAAGGGCAGGATGAATGAAGCATCCCCTCTGCCTTCAGGAGAAGGAGGGCTTTGGGAATTCTGAGACCCTTGGTTCATGGTCCCTCAAAACTGGAGACAAGTAAAGCCCTGCCTACAACCTAGGGACAGCTCTGAAAGCTTTATTAACTGGCTGATGCCCTAGACCTAAAGGCTTTCAGGAGGACTACAGAGAGACCACCTTCAAGGGTTTCCTATTGCCCAGTAGGCGAGTTCCAACTCTCCAGCCTGTCTTTCTGGACCCACCCTGTCTCCCCTTTTAAAGCTCAACCCCTTTAAAAGCCTTTCCCAATTACTTAAGCCCACATAACCCTTTTAACAATCTACTGTCTGTCACTACATCACAAATTGTCACCATATTATCTTCTAAACACTCTGCATTTATTCAGTCATTCACTTGGTTGGTCCCTACTACATGCAGGCCTGTGCAAGTAGCTGGAGGTAAAAACATAAACAAAGCACAGTCCTAAATTGCTCATAGTCCTGAGTGCTAGGCACCCTGTGGGATAAATGCTATTCTGTACAAGGGAACACAGAGGAGAGAAATGTACCAATATGAGAGCGGAGTTGGCAGCTTTGGGGGCATTAGGGACAGAGGAGGTTGCACTTAAGAGTGGAGGAGGGGTTCCCAGGCATCTTGCAGAGAAGAGAATTAAAGCATGGAGGTTTGATCCTGCAAGATGTACACCCCTGGGGGGCATGTCACAGTCTAATGTGACAGAGGGCCAGCATGCCTGGGTACATAGGTGGCAGCAGGGGAAGGTGAAGAAGTGGGTTAGGACCTGATTTTGACAGGTTTTTATTCCACAGGCCATGAAAAGTCAAAGAAGGTATATAAGCAGATGAATAACAAGAATAAAGTTTGTATTTAAAATCCTCTGTTAGTCATCTGAAGGAAGGGAGGCAAGATTAGAAGGAGGAAACATATTAGATGGCTGTTAGAAGGGCCAGGTGAGAGATGATAAAGCAGAAGGGGTAGGGGATAGAAAGGAAGGGTCAAGTTATTTGAGAGACAGGAAAGCAGGAAAGAGGCAGCAGGACAGGCCTTGGTGATGGACTAGAGGTGAGTGATGTCATTAATTTAGCTGCAGGCGCTGTTCTGTCTACTTGTACTCTGGTATCAACATCTGCAGAGATGCGAGCACACCCGATGCAGGCAGCTCTGGATGCCTTGGGTGGGAGCATCAGAGAGGGCACAAAGCTCCCCTTTACTAAGCCAAAAACCATGCTAAGACCTTTATATGGGAGGATCCCTAAGATGAGGAAAGTAAGGCTCAGGTAGAATACAGGACTTGCCCAGGGTCACACAGTTGGTAAGTGGCAGAGCCTCGTCTCTCTGACTCCAAAGCCTACTACACTCACAATTGATGAAGGAGAACTGGGCATTTGCTACCACAGGAGGGGGCAGCCCCCTGCCTTCACAGAGCATTAAGGGTGATTGGAAAGTGACATGCATGAAATTACTATCTCCCAGGGCTTCATTTGGAAGCTCTGGTAGCATAGTGCCTAAGGCACTTGACTGCTAACCAGAAGGCTGGCGGTTCAAACCCACCAGCCACTCCTCAGAAGGAAGGTTGGGCAATCTACTGTAGTGATACTGCCTCAGAAACCCAAGGAGAGGTCGCTATGAGTTGGGTCCGACCCAAGGACACATAACAACAGAAGTCAAAAGTTATTATTCCCAAAAGTGCCTTTTGCAGCACTGTCTATTCTAACCAAAAAGTAGAAAACCAGTAGGATTTAGAAAATCATAAAATATTGCACAGCTTTCAAAAATGGTAACTATCAAGCCTAATAAGTAACATGGAAAATCTTTTTGAGATAAGAATAAGTGAAAAGCAAATACTCAGAGAAGAAATTAGACTATAGGGCTAATAGCTTACATGCTCCATGGCCTCATCTACCCTGAGACCAGAAGAATTAGATGGTGCCCAGCTACCACTACCAACCATTCAGATCAAGGGCACAATAGATGGACCCTGACAGAACAGAAGAAAAATGTAGAGCAGAACTCAAATTCTTAAAAAGTCCAGGCTTACTGGACCAGTTGAGACTATCTGGATGCCCTGAGACTATCACTCTGAGATACTCTTTAAACCTTAAATCAAAACTATCTTGGGGTCATCTTTTAGTTAAATAACAGATTGGCACACAAAGTAAAGGATATTATCATGAGTACAGTGTTCCATTAAAAAAACACCTATATGAGACCAAAAAAAAAAAAAAACCTCAAATACATTGCCATCGAGCTGATTCTGACTCATAGCAACCCTATTGGACAAAGTAGACCTGCCCCATAGGGTTGCCAATATTTTAAATCTTTATGGAACCAGACTGCCTCATCTTTCTCCCATGGAACATCTGGCAGGTTTGAACCTTTAACCTTTTGGTTAACAGCTGAATGCTTTAACCATTCCATCACCAGAGCTCCTTATGAGAACAGAAGCTAGAGTACTGGAAACAGAACAACCAGAACACAATGAAAAAGAATGTCCACACATTGTGGAAAATGTAACTAATGTTGCTAAACAATATATGTAGAAATTGTCAAATAGGAACCTAATTTGCTGTGTAAACTTTCACTGAAAACACAATATTATTTTTAAAAAAAGTAGGTGAAAACAGTCATATTCCGAATGGTACATAGACCACATAAACCATGAAGAAAACTGCTTTGAAAAATATAACTGCCTCTGGACAAAGACTAGAAAGAAGATGCAGAAGTGAAAACATGTCATGAAGTCATGTCATGTCATGAAGATGCAGAAGTCATGCAAGCATACGGGGGGTAGAAATGGCAGATTTTCTTCTTTCAAATTTTTCTTTAATGTTATTTCAATCATCTTTCCAATACAAGAATAAATTAGATGCCAACTGGCTTGTCAGAAATCCCTGAGATGGACCCTCCACCCCCATCTAACCAGTATATATGGACCCATTCCTTTCTCTACCTACATATCCTGCTGCTCAGGGACCTGTCTTACCAGCAACTCTGACCACAGCACGCTCTGCAGGGTCCAGTACCGAATCCTGGCTTTTCCGCTTTTTCTGCTCATGCAGTGGTAGGTTCCAGGGCAAGGTGTCCCCTGGAGGACATGGCGACAGGCTCCCTGACCTCTCGCTCCTGTAAGACCGCTCGCTCCGACATGACCGCTCACTCCGGCACGACCGCTCACTGAGCGTTTCTTCATCAGAGGAAGACATTGTCCAGATGGAGGCTGCAGCAGAAGAGCCTGGCAGCCCAGGGACAAGTGATCTGGAAGAAAGAGGGTGCATGTGAACTGACCAAAGGAACTGCAAGGAACACTGAGACTTGGGAGGCAGGGGTTCTAGCCCTGGTTCTGCCTCTGACTTGACCAGAAGTACCTATTGGAACTTCAATTTCTTTATCTGGAAAGCAGGTGATGATAATACACGGCAAGCCTAACATAATGTATGTAAAAGATGTCTATAAATCATAAAACATTATATAAAAGTTAGCTCCTATTCTAGTAACCACTACTGTTATTATTATTATGGTTCTTGGTATATTTGCAGGATTAAGTTCACAAGCCCCACAGATAGGAAGAAGTAGGTTCGAATTCTGTCTCCACATTTATTAGCCCTGTGAATCTCTTTGAGCCTCAGCATCCTCATCTGTAGAATGGGGACAGTGATAGCACCTGGGTTGTTTCCAAGGACTAAGTGAGATACTGCATGTAAAGCATTTAACAATGTCTGTTGTCTAGCAAGCACTCAATAAACAGCAGCTATTACTAGTGCTGGGAGCTCTGGTAGTATAGTGCCTAAGGCATTTGACTGCTAATCAGAAGTCTGGTGGTTCAAACCCACCAGCCACTCCTTGGAAGGAAGATTGGACAATCTACTTCCATAGTCACACCACCTTGGAAACCCAAGGAGGGGTCACTATGAGTCGTATCCGATTTGATGGCAGTGAGGTTTTTTTTTTTTTTTTTTTTTTTTTACTATATTCCAGGGACCCCTGGTGATGCGGTAGTTAAGTGCTTAGCTGCCAATCAAAAGGTTAGCAGCTAGTAACCCACCAGCAGCTCCAAAGAGAAAGACGTGGCAGTCCACTTCTGTAAAGATTATAGCCTGGAAACTCTATGGGGCAGTTCTACTCTGTCCTATAGGGTCACTATGAGTCAGAATCAACTCAACAGCAATGGGTTTGGGTTTAGTTTATTATTATACTGCTGTTCTACTTATCTCCCTGGATTGTTATAAGGATAAAATGGAGCAGCAGATGGGAAGTATTTTCAAAAAGCTAAAGCACGATCCCAATGGCAGGCATGAGACAAAGCGTGAGCTAAAACAGGCAGAAATTCCCTGATTTCTCCCCAATCTGTCTCCAGCAGATATATTAGAAAAAGTACTAAATTTGAAGTTAGACCTGGGTCTGAATTCTGGTTTGATCACTTACAATGAGATTTGGAGCAAGTCACTTCATCTATCTGAGATTCAGTTTCCTCATCTGCAAAATGGGGGTAATGATTCTACTTTAGAGGATGTTGGAGCATATAGTGAAATGTAGTACAAGTGTTAAAACTGGCTGGTGCCATGCATGGCACACAGCAGGCATGAAATAAAATGTTCATTTGCTTATTTCAAGGGTTGTTATGGGAATAAATGGTACAGCATTGGGGGGCAGGGGTTACAGAAGGTTAGTTCTTCTGATCAGTTTAGCCAGTGGAGAGAAATGAATGGAAATAGGATCACTCTGGGCCCAGCAGGGTTCCACTAGCCAGACTGGGCAGGCAGCTTTCCCTCTGTCCAGTCAAGCTCACTTCCCAGAACCATCTGCTCCGTACAGTCCGCTGCCCTGAGGGTTCCATCAGAGGCTGGATGGTGTGTCCCTTCAGCTACCAGCCTCCCTGCAAGCCCCAAGCCCAGCCCAGGTAATCAGTTTCCACTTTGACTCCAAAGTTCAGGTAGAGAAGGAGGCTGTTGAGTTTCCCTTAATGGGAATACCTGCACACACAGCTGTGCGCCAATAGGCAAGTGGCCTAAATCTCTGGACACCATGGGTCCCTGGACACAGCCTCTTCTGGACTCTGGGAATCTCAGTCCGGTGGCAGCAAGAGGCAGAGGCAGCCTCCTAGATCCCACCATAGGCACAGAATCAGCAGAGATAACAAAAGAATCATCTAACAGGTTTGGAGCAGCAGGGTGCAGGAGGCCTCTAGGAAGCTTTGGGCAGACAGAACAGCCCTGCCAGCCTGTGGGCCCTCTTCCCATAGAACATCAAGAAAGAATCCAACACCAGAAGGCGAAAAGGAAAGGACCCAGGTTCTGTCCCAGCTTTGCCTCCTATCCAAGCATTTATCTTGTCAGTATTACCCACTGGTGCTCTCTCCCAGCTCTTACAACCAGGTCAGGTGCTGAAGTGACAGCCCCAACCTCTAGGAAACTCGGGCGAGCTTCCACCCTGAACTTCAGCGGGAGCAGGAAAACGCCCCTCCTTTCAGACCACCTGCTTCATTCCAGAACCGCCCATTCCCCTCCAAGACGCCCATTTTTACTACAAAGGCTCGCTCATCAAGGCCTCCTCCTGGAGAAACCTCTCTCCTCTGCTCTACATGGGTCAGTGTCCAGCCTCTCACAAACACCTGTTTGACCTCGGCGCCTCCGCCCCACCCCTCGGTCCCCGGGTCATTCTATCAGTGCCGATTCATAGGTGTGTGCACCCACGCCCCCAACCCACCCTGAAGGCCACAGGCCAGGTTGGCGACTGGCGTCTCATCTAGCGGTCGCCCGCTGTGCCCTTCCCTCATTTCGACCCCCACTGCCTTCTCTACGGCTGGGGGAGGGGCGCGCTCTCGACTCGGGGTGGCGCGGGTGGGTCCGCGTGCCCGCCGCGCGCTGCTGACAAAGAGCAGGGGCCCGCGCCGTGCTGACGCGCTACCGAGGACCGAGTGGGTCTCTCGGGCCAGCGACCAAGACCTGGGCCAGCGGCCGAGACCTAGGCCAACGACCTTCCTGGCCTGCTCTGCTCTGCTCCCACAGGTCTCCCTCCTGACCCTGGTTAAGGGGACTCGGCGCACCATTTTTTTCGGGGAACACGCCTCTCTTTGGTCCAGGCAGTGTCCGCCGAGAGGAATCCAGGTTCCGTGCGCTCGACGCTCCCCGGCGCTGCGGCCAAGGGGACTGCAGGTGCGAGGCCCTCACGGCCGAGATACACGCGCCTGTCAATCTGCCTTCTGGCTGCTGCCAGGTACTCTGCTTCAGGGGAGGCCCCCCGAAATCTCTGCCAGCCCTGCACGATCAATCGCTGCGCCCCAGCCGCCACCGCGCATCCCGTGCACTCAGGCAGGGAGCCTCCATCCCGCCCCGCGCCCCGCGCCTTACCCTGGGAGCCGGAGAAGGAGGGAGACAAGCCAGCGGCAGCAGCAAAGGCGGCGGCGGCAGGGCGCGCCCCGGGCTGGAGCGGTGTCGAGGGGACCGCAGCGGAGCTGAGGGGAGCGGCTCCCACAATGGCCGAGCTCGCGGCGCCGAGCCCCCCGCCCCCCGCGCCCTAGCGGCAGCGGCTGAAGCAGAGCCGGCGCAGCCGCCCAACTCGCTCCCCAACCCCCAGCGCCGACGCCGCCCCCCGCCCCCCCATACGCGGTCCCCCCGCCCTGCACCTATCCCCGAGAGCCTCCTCGCTCCCAAGAGCTCCTGCCTCCCGGCACTGGCCCCGCGATCTCTTGCTTTCCCCAGGTCCTGTCTTTCGATCTGTCTCCCCTGCAGCCTCTCAGCCACCGCCCGTGTCTCCCGTGCCAACTCACACCCCCATATTCCCCGCCCTCTGCCCCGGCGCCCTCTCCGCCCCGGCCCCGCGGCCGCTAGCTAACCCTGGACCCGCTTACCGGCCCGCCCCCTTGAAGCTCTTCACGCCCTCCCCCGAGTAGCTCTCCCAGGCTGCGGAGCTGTCTCCCAGTCTGGCCCCTGGTCCTAGAACAACCCGTTCCCCTGCCTGCCCCGCTTTTCACCAGCTTCTCCTAAAACCGCTATTCCTTTCCTGCCCTTGGGGCTCCAACTTCTTCAGGAAAAGAGCCCTGCCCACAGAAGCCGACAGAGGGCCCATCTTCCCTGCCGGGTAAAGGACAGAGGGGAACTAGGCCTAGGGAGGGAAGTCAGACTCTTGATAAACTGCGCTAGCCCTAGGCGGAGCCTTAGAAGAGGCTTCATCCACCAGGCAGGCAGTTATTGAGCTCCTTCTGCATGCAAGACCTAGTAATACAGACAATAAGAACCGGGATGCTTCCAATATTCTCATGATGAAGATATGGCAATATGTCCAGAGAGAGGAGGAGATTTGCCTAAAGTCACTCCACTGGTAACCTGCATACCAACAGCTACTATTTGAGGCATGCTTCCTGGGGGCTATGCAAGGTGCTTTAAGTAGACCATATCTCATTCTCACAGCCCTGTTCATTTATTCAACAAATACTTATTGAACATCTACCATGTGCCAGCCCTGTGCAAGGTGCTGAGGATACAATGACTGAGCAAGAGGCAGAAGAGTAAAATAACCCAAGGGCAGATTCAAGATGGGTGTGGGTGGTTATCCTGGAAGACTACAGTATTAGTCCCAGCCAAAGGTAATGAGGCCCTGAACTCAGCAGAGGCAGTGCGGATGGAAAGGGTTGATTCCTACCCACTGAGACCCACTTGGCTTCTGTGTCTACATGCACTCTCCCACATTAAGTAATGAAAGGGATGCATCATCTACTAAACTACAAAGTGCTAAGGAATGCCCTGGACCGTTTGCATATATTTTCTCATTAAATCTTCCCCCATAACACTGTGCAACCTTTATTATTCCCATTTTACAATAAGAAAATAGAGACTTCAAAAGGTTAAATGACTTGCTTACAAAGCAAGCTAGTATTGGAGCTGGGGTTGTAGCCCAGGGCAATTTGTGTCTAAATCTCATTCTGTAACCACTGCTTTTTACTGTTTGAAAACCAAGGCAAAGAACCAAGTTTCCTTGACACAACTAAGGGTTCTTTTCATTAGACCACAGGTTCCTATGAGACTTCCAGGGAAAAGTCAGGGGTCCAGAAATGTGACCTAGGCCAATAGTGCAGGTCTTTATGTGGGATGTCTTTTCCATAGAAGCCTACAGAAGTGCCTGCAGCCTCATTCTAAAGTTCTTGTGGGATGGGTTGAGAGACACAGAGGCATGAAGCTGAAGGGGTAATGAAGGAATCATTCTTAGTTTAGAAATGCATTTCAAGGCCCTTCTCTGGTGAGAAGGGCACATGG